ATCAACCTCCCTAAGAGGGTCTATATTTTTAAATTCTTGTGAAGAATAAAATGGAGTAGGGGTAGGGAAAAAGGGGGAAAATAAAACAACAAAAACTGAAAAAATAAATTAGATTCTTCTACAATAATAGAAGATATTAAACAAGTAGGAAAGTGTGAAACTAAAGAATGAATAGAATAAAAGAAAGACTGGATAAACCAGTGTAAAAAAAAAACAACTAAACTACTTATAAGAACTAATTTGAAAAGAAGGAATTAAACCAAAAACGATAATAAGGAAAAGAAGGCGAAAACAATAAAGTTTTCAACAATAAAGTTGATAAATGAGAAAAAGACTGGGAAAACTAAACGTTCACCCAAGAAAAAATAAGTCGGTCGAAACTGAGAAATATAAGCAAAGAAATCAAAAACTAACAATGAATAAATAAATAAATAAAGTATGAAAAAGAAACTAAAATAGAAACTAGATTAAATAAACTTGTTCAAATAAGTAGTTAATAAATAAAAGAAAAGAAAATAAGTAATCTGGTAAGACATTAAAAAGAAATAAAATTCAAAATGGCATCCAAAGGCAGCCGAGAACTGAAAAAACAAGTTCGACAAGAAAGAAAATTAAAAGTTCAAAATTTAAATATCAACAAAAGGACTCCCTTTTCCTTTTCACACGTTAAAATTAAAGTAAACTATAAATTAAAATGCAAAAGAGAAAAAAATACAGAAGTTTGGTTTGAAACTAGTCAAACCAATTAAAAAAAAAATAAAGGTTTGTGGCCGAAGCCGCCGGAGAAAAAAATAAAAGTGAAAAGAAAAATTTTTTGAATTTTTCTTTTTCTTTTCTTAAACTTATTTTTTCCACAATAACGAAGATAAAAGAAAACGTTAACTATAAATGAAAAACAAATAAAAGAAAAACAGAAAAATAGTAGATCGGTAAGACTTTGTCAAACCGGACTAAAAATAAAAATAAAGATGTTGGCCAAAGCCAACGAGGGGAAAAAAATCTTACAAGAAAAGAAAACAAAAAACAATAAATTAAACAGAAAAAAGGGAAAACTTAACAAATCACTTGTAGTTCGAAGAAAGTTCGTAAGCACACAATCGGTCAAAAAGTAGGTCAGTTCCAGCCGAAAAACGAGACTCAAGAGAATAGAAATCTCTTCTCTGGTGGTGAGCCTTTTCTGAACCCACATGGTTTTTATTAACCAAAGAGAGACTGCCTAACATCATATGACCAATCTCTCTATATATAGGAGCAGACGAATTTTACAAACCAAACACCACTATCTCCGAAAGAAAGAAAACGCGTTGCGCTTAATTGATTCATACACGTTCGAGCGAAATCGGCGAGAGAAAAGAAATTTATAAAATTATGAACTAATGCAAAGAAAAGGAATATGAAGAGATTCGGGAAAAAAATAGAGAACGAGAAAAGAGGAGGTGACGTTAATATAAAAATATAACAAAAAAAGGAAAGAAATAATTTTCTTTCATTTCAGTTGACGTTAAGTATTTTTGTCATTATGGAAATTACGTACATAATTCCACATATATACACCCCCCCACACACACACACACTTTCTATAAAATCCTGTTCATTTCAAATTTATTCTAACGCTCATTTGTTGTGTAAATAAACTGTTTTTGTTCTAAAGCCTTGTCTGTTGTCTGTCTCTGTCTTATCACCACTGTGTAGATGTTCCGACCCTGAGAAAGGATATTATTTCTTTTTGAACTAGGTGGGATTATATTCTTGATCCCATTTACACTGCGTTGGTTTCGTGGTATGATAAATATGTATAGTCGCCGGTTATTCGTAATGTCACACACACGCACACGCAGATACATCATATTGTTAATATTTGTCATGCAGACTATTTATTTTTTATAGATAATACTTTATTTTTTTTCCTTTAAAGACTTGATAAATTCCCTGAAAGTGGATCGGTGCCTCGGCCAATTGAGTGTTCGACACACTCCCCAGACCTCATACCTCTATACACTTCTTTCTTTGGGAGCTTATGTAAGATATGTTTGTGAAAAGGTTCGTACTATTCAGAAATTGAAGACAAGTAATTGCAAAATTTGATGAAATCGATATCGAATTCGGCGAGCGTTTGTGCCACTCTCGTCTGTCTGCTCGGTTGTAATTGTCCATTAGTCACGTGGGAGGGTAATTTCAAGATTAAGTAAAACTGCTTGGTACAGTTCCTTAGTAACTCCCTACACGACTCTGACTTTGACTTACCATACATATATAAATAATATCTATCTTAATGTATATTTGGGCAGCAGCCTTTCTTTTAAACATCTTTCGCTAATTATGGCAGACAAGTTTAATTCTTTTTTATTTAGTTTTTCAGTATTTTTTCGTTTGTGGAGAGTAAGGGAGTACAAAAATTTTCCAACGAAAATTATGGAAAATTTTTATACTCCCACCAAACGGAAAAACGTTGGTAAAACTAAATAAAAATGAATTAATTTTTCCTTGTCTGCCATATTTAACAAAATATATACAGGGTGCGATGGGTAAATTGTCACCATTTTATATTTATAAAATATTTTATATTTTTTTATTTTTAATTTCGTACATGCGTGTTGATTGCTTTTTTAATATTATTTTGTTGGCTGCGCAGTATAGTAAGGTTAGTTGGGCACAGTCTGTGAGAAAAAAAAGCATCATGATGCAATTCACACCAGCAGAAATTTGGAAAATGCATGTTGTACTGCTTGGTATTCACGTCCGAAGCTCCGATAGGAATATTTCAGAGTGTTTTGGTATCAATATGAGATAAGTGCAGAGGATTTAGAAATAGTTGGATAAGTCTAATAGTGATTAGCAAAGTACGGCAGCTCGGAAAAATTACTTTGATCGTTCTGATAAGGAAAACTCCTAAATTTGTTAGTGAGGGCCTGAGACTCAACACGGAGGCCTACATCAAGTGCATTGAAGTGGTAGTGTTATCCTGGATAAATAGGGTGGCTGCTGGAAGACCCTATGCCACACAAACAGGAGAGCCCAGTCGTGGATGTCAGACAATTTCTTCAAACATATTACATCTGGCCACCTAACTCCCCAGACTGCAACCGCTTTGATTATTATGTGTGGAGCGCAGGTGAGACCAACAAAACTCCTTGTAAGACCAAAGATGAACTGAAGTCAAGAATTATGGCTGCATTCAACATCTTAAACAAGGAGACCGTCCAGAAGAGTTGCAGGAGATTTTGAAGTCATCTGGAGGCCGTGGCTGAAGCCAGTGGTTGTTATATATATATATATATATATATATATATATATGAGAGAGAGAGCGAGAGACAAAGATTAGAGATTTAATTAATTTCATATAATAATTCATTGAGTCTAGAATAAGAAACCCCAACAGAATGCAGAAAGCACTGGACAGACATTTCTTTCTTTTTGCATTTTATATCCAGTCATAATTTCTATCAAATTTATCAGCTTTCCTTAAACAATTCTTAGAGGCTATATGCACACGAAATAAAACATCTAATAAACGTTAACTACACTTCTACGATTTCCCAAACTTTGTTCACAATATTTTTTAACTTCTGCATCAGTTGAATAATACGATATAAAATCGCTTAGTCAGTAATAGCATTATTTACTGCTAGCCTGTCACTAAATTAATTCTACAATTATTTATTTTACCGGAACCGAGTTCCGATTACGGTTTAATAACCACAACAGGGACAACAACAACAATTTCCCGGTATCCGTACACTTCCGTACAACCCGGTCACAGCATCGACGACGTCAGGTGCGTGCTTTTAGAGTCTGAGTTCGACAGCTGGGAAAAAAGACGCAGGTCAGAGTTGAAATACATGCTGAAAATAAACTCCCACATAAAAGGTCTAAACAGAGATTTGGGTTTACTCAAAGAGTATACCTTCGACAAGGAAACCCATTACCCACAACATCACTCCACGAATGAGTAGCACCCACCTCCACACACATTTATAATCAAAATTTTAACAGACCCCCTCCCCAATTACTATATTTTTCTGCTCTGACACCTAGGATTTCGGAATTTTATAAGATAGTTAAGGTATATTCACAATTATCAAACTTCAACACACAAAGCATCTATTTTTACTGACACCTTTCTCCTCTTTCCCTTCCTGCACTGTTATTACTACAATCGTGTTTTTATCTGTTTATTTTTTCTGCACCCCACCATTTTCTGACTATAGTTTCCAAAAGAATTTTTATCAAAATATTTTATCCTTTTTATTACGGTTCTAATTCTGTGTTTCCCTTTCGTTTTCTTTCTTTATTCATTCTTGCCTCCTCAATCTCTACCCATCTAGTCAAATCCATCAACACTGATCACAGGGACGTCTTCCCCATCCCAAATCCTAAAAACCTCTTCCTCTTGTTCAAAATCACACTCCCCCGCCTTCCACGCTGATAAAGACAAAACAGACTAATGCGTTCACCCCGATCATTTAAAAAAAAAAAAATTTTGCAAGCTAGAAATAAAGCAGGAATCGGATTTATATTAATAATACCATCCACAACGATTTTACACCAGTTATATATCAGTTATATATATATATATATATATATATATATATATATATATATATTAGTTCAAATGTTATGTTTTAGTGGATATTTATGTTTGAATAGAAGCCCTTTTTATTAAATGCAGTTTACAGTTTACCGGTTTGCGCACTTGAGAAAACCTAATAAACAAAAGGTGCCCTTCGACAGGGTTTGTACTTGCGTCTCACTCTGAAATGGATTAAATATAACCTTGATGGGGTGTGACGATCTTTGTGAGCGATGTGTCTAAAGCACACCGGATCACAACATTGACTGAGTACAGAGTTTAATTGGCAGCTGCAGGTGTGGGAGTGTACATCAAATTAAATGAATCCTCGTATGGTATAAAAGACAAATGGCTATATTCCTATGTCGCGAATGTAGAATACATTATTAGAAAAAATAGAAAAATAAATTAAATAGAAGACACGAATTACCTGAAAAGAACTGTAGAACACAGATATGTACATGTAGGGTAGATCCACAAGTGTGTCCAGGTCAGGTGGAATCAGCATGAAAAGTACGTTCGGTACTCCAAACAGCGGCACTAGCATCATGATAAACTTGGCCAGTTTCCTAGACAGCAAAGTAAAAGAACAGGAATTAATTTCGTGATTTCCTTCAGGACGTACGCGACTATGAGTATCAACTACTTCTTTTTCTTAAACCCATATTCACCTGGCGTCAGTCCCCCCATATCTAAACTATAATTTTAAAGTACGAAGTCTGATCAAAAAGTATCGGAACTTGCGCTATAAAAAGAAAATATATCAACTCGCCATTTAATTTCCTTTGAAGTAGTCCACTTCTAAAGACACACACGTTCCTGAAAGCATTCCTAGAACTCCCTGACTCGTCGCATTTACTTGGTTTTACTCGGTGTCTTGAAATATTGTTCCTTTCAAGTGAGATTTGATTTTTGAAGAGAAAATCAGAGGAATATGGTGGTTTTCGGACGTATCAAATGTTGCCCTTGGCCAAAAAACTGCTGCACAGTTCATGGTCATTGATGGAATCACTGTGGCGGGGTGAGACGACCACACGCTATGCACTTTCGTTCCAAGCACTGTTATAAACAACGGAAGTGAATGAGAACTTAATGCGCATGCGCCACAGTGTTCAAGGTCAGTTTGCGCCAGGCGGATTTCCGATACTTTTTGATCATACCTCGTATAACTTTGTAACGTTAAAATTTCACTAAAACATATTGGAAATCTGAACTCAAGAAAATATGAACCTTACGCAAAATAGTCACAATATATAAAAAAAATGAAGGTGTCAGTTTAAAATGACGCCATGCGTATATGCGTTAATATCTAATAACTGTTATGGCTATTCATGGGAAAACTACTGGAATGGTTTTCTGTTGCTTTCTCGATGATATTTAATTCATAAATATCCTTCTCCTGGATTGGTTGTCCTGATAAATCTAGAGAGCACTTCAGGCTGTAATATTTTCTCTTAGTAGTCGGAGGAAATATGAATTCGTGTCTTTCTCAAGGGCGTATGTTCGAAGTAAATTTAAGAATAAGAAATGAATTTCAAAATTCATCAAACGAAATAAGAAGGATCGATGCATATTTTAAAATCTGTTTTCATACATTTATTTAGTAAAATGAATTCAGTCTGGCTCAAGGTTACAGTATAAATAATCTATGTGAATATTCTTCAGTTGTACAATGAGCCCAGCAATAAGAAATAATCTTTTTTTTTTCAATTTTCTTTTCACATTATGATTAAACACTTTAAATTATGAATATTATTTTCTTAAAATTTAATAGGGGGATCAACTTTGTTATGTAAATCCATTGTAAATTGATTCCTTGATTCCTAAGTGAGGATCGAACTAACTACAGTAGTAACAGTCTTAATTGATTACAGATTCTCGCTTTATGACAAGCTTCAAGTATTTTCTCTCTTTCTGAAAAGAAACTGATTGAAAAAGAAATTCAGAAAGAAAGAGACAGAACTAGAATGAGAGCAATAAAGAGAAAGGGAAAGGGAAAAAGAGAGAAAGAAACAGAGAGAGATTCATTTTTAATCTGAATTTTTTATTACTCGAACCTCAGGAAAGAAAGCGCATTTTCTTTAGTAGGATGTCTCCAGTCCGCAGGCCAGAGGATGTAATACACAATGTTTAAAAACAAATTGGGGTGTCCTTTTCAAATACGGGTATCCATCAAAATAACCTTTAAAGTAATAAATGTGATTGTCACGAGCAAGATACGTGATATCATGCCCGAAAACGCCCACGCATTGCATGCATATGGTGTCGCAGAGTATTTGGAGGAAGAATTGGCGGAGTGCGCCTACGCATATGTAAAAAACTCTCCCACTCAACCAATCGGCTGCTTTGTCATGGTCTATAAAATGAGTGTACCTGAATGCTTTGGAAGTTGGAGCCGAGGGAGTTGTCTTCTTAATCAGCTCTGCAGGCCGTACTAGACGTGACAAGAGTGCGGACCGTTTTTCTACGAGTCTGTTTCTCTAGAACTTGACGTTAGTCATTTGACGCGCGACCTATTTCAGCATTGCAATAGTAAGTGACTCTTTTTGTTAGTTTTTGTTTTTTGGAGGAACAGTTTATTTAGTTATGTTTAAAAATATTGTTTTAATGGATTTTTACGTGTTTTGACGTGGGAGCCCTCCTTGCCAGTATTATAGAGGAGTCTCCCTCCAGCCCAGAGAAATCAACGCCAGCTACTCCAAGCGCATGGGCGTCAGAAAATGCAAAGAAGCGGCCGAAGTATTACGAGGCTCTCAAAGAAAAATACAAAGAAATTATTGACGCTAATGAATTACTATCAATACCGTCTGTTTTGAAAGCAGTGACTACTAGAACTATCTCGCTGCTAACTTCAGATGTTAAGTCCCCGAAGCTGATAAGAGTCAGCCGGAAAATAATGTAGGAGGCTCTTAAAACCCTCAACATAGCCCCGAAAATTTTGGCCAAAAGATCCAACGCCATTTGGGATATACTGCTGGCAACGGAGGACGAAACCAAAAGACAAGCTGGGAGTATTCTCACTACGGAATCGGTGAGACTACAAACAGAGTACATGGGCACCCGCAAGATTACGTTACATGGGGTGCCCATGGATTTATCTGAGGACCATTTGGGAGCTTTTTTTGCCCAATATGGACAGGTTGCTGATGTCACGTCGGCGAAAGGCAAAACAGGCATATCCACCGGGGATGTTATTGTACATGTGAGTCTAACTAGGAAAACTTTCAATGACATCCCCGATATCTTGACTTGCGGTGGAAGAAAAATATTTGTAGTTGTGCAGGGCCGGAGGCCCCATTGTTGGTCTTGTGGAGCCGTGGGGCATATGTCTAAGGAATGCCCTGGCAAGAACCCGGCACCACCAACTGAGCAACAGTCGGCATCCAAACAGCCAACAGTCCAACAGCCAACAGTTCAACAACAGGCAGCAGTAAAGGAAGCTGTGGGACAGACCCCTAAGGATACGAATGAGTGACAGCAGGTGACCAGGAAGGGAAGCAAAGCAGCAGCTCCTCCTCTCCCCAGCAGAAAGTCTCACCGGAACGTAAACAACAAAGCCCGAAGCAGAAGCCTTCTCAGCAGCAGCAACAACAACAACAGATACAGAAACAGGCCCGGTAGCAGCATGAAGAGACACAACAACAACGACAGACACAGCAACGTCAAGAGGCACAGTAACAAAAGGCACAGCCACTGGAACAACAAAAATACTAGCAACAACTAGAGGAAGATTTACAAATGCAGACTGAGCACCAACTATTGGATATAGGTATGGAGGTGGAGGTCATGTCTCCACCTAGATCTTCTTCTTTGAAAAGGGGGAGGGAAGATGAGGTGGACGACGAGGAGGAAGATGAGAAAGTTTTGAAAAAAGAATAAAAGTCTGATCGTAGCAGGGTACAAAGATTCAGAGATTACCCCAGGTTCCATTCGCTTCCCGCCTCGCTACCTAAAGGAAAAGACACTGGGAAAAATAGGACTATGAGCCTCTTTCCCTTCCCCCACTAAAGTTTTGCAATCTCCCTCTCCCATAGTATCCCCCGTTTCAGTGGAAAAAAGAAAAACCCCTCCCAAGAAAAAGGAAACTTTCCCTAAGGGGGTGGCTAGTTGCCAGGTGTACAGAAGGGCTTTCAGTGCAAAAGAAGGCCCTACTAAGACATCTAATTAAATATACCTCCGTGGACGGCAAGTCAACGGAAGACCCTCAAAACTTTCCAAAAGCTCCTAGTGTGATGACTTTCATCAGGAACAGGGGGGGGGTAATCTGAAAGTTGGAGATCATTTAGCGGAGGCCAGGGATGCGTTCCCTAATATAAAAATGGTGCAACTTGGTTCTCCGGAGCTACGAAAAATGTCGCAAATGTGCTCAGGGAGGGACCCGGTTATTCTACATCCCTGTTTATATAGGACGCTAAAATTAACCTACCCTACAGACGTCGGTGTCATTGTCTTGGAGGGAAGAATTACGTCCGACATAGGCACAGGAAGTCTAGGACAATCCGTTGGGGTCCTGAAACTCGCAGATTTCCGTCCAGTCTGCGTTTAGGGGATCACGCTTAAATTGTTTATCAAGCTAGCCAACCTGAATGTAAGGGGCTTGAGGGATCTGAGTAAGGCTGCCCGTCATCTTCGGGGTCCTTTGGTGTAGATGTAGCTGCGATCCAGGAAACGCACTGTTTGCGACGTTGATGCGCGTGTTCTGTCTAGCGACTTTGTTGTTTATTCAGCATACGAGGACCAGCAGGCCAGAGGTGTTTCCTTGTAAGTTAAACGTACCCTGGATGCGGGTGGGTGATCGTGGCTGATATTGCCGTAAGCAGTGGTTCATTTCGGGTCATTGCGGTTTATACGCCCAACGAACTGTGTGAACGTGTCAACTTTTTCCATCGGTTGGGGCTGTTCCTGGTTGATTCTTAGCGCTTCGTTTTAATGGGGGACTGAAATGCCGTCCTGGACCCCAAGATAGATAGTGGGTGGGGTGCTAGCGGGAAGGCATCGGGCGATCGTAACCTGGTTGATCTGATCGGCGACTTTGAGCTCGTCGATAGATACCTGGTCGATTTATCCGAGGGTGGAGATGTGGACGTGGACCCATAGTTGGCCGTCTCTCCGGGTAGCCAGCAACCTGGACAGAATGTTAGTGAGAAGAGACGACCTAGATTTACTAGATTGTCCCACGTTCCACCGGTTAGACTATTCGGATCATAGACTTGTTTGTGCCCGGATGGTGTTAGGTGTTAGGCCAAGAATGGCTGGACACTGGAAGTTCAACGTGTCCTTACTGATTAGTCCAGCGGGAACTAGTGGGGGCGGTTATCGGGAATAAGTGGCGGGAAGGCTTAAGGATAAGATTAGGTCCTTCACCATTGAATACAACCAACGACTCGCTCTAGATAAGGCTAAAAAGATGAAGGCTATAGAGGATAGTGTGTCCCGGAAGGTGGTTAGGGGGATTCCCTAGACATAGCCGTAGCTAGACAGGCCCTGAAGCGTGAGGCTAGCAAGTGCCACCAGGGACAGGTAGTTAGACATAGGTTAAACAAGATGTCTAACGAAGCCGTGAACATGGACACAGAATTGAGCAAGGAAGAGTTCCGTCGAGGTTGCGATCGATACATTCGCGAGATCATTACCCGGGAGGGGCGCTCTCTGAGGTCGACCGAAGACATTTGCGAGGCGTTTCGGAGGCATTTCGAGAGCTGTGTTACCAAGGAGCCTGGTCTCAGTGGCGACGAGTTTCGCAGCTATTTAGATGACTTTCCTCGGCTTTCGCGAGGTTGAGATCACCGACGGACATTTCTACTTGGCATTGAAGAAGGTGGGGAGAGGCAAGTCTCCGGGACTTGATGATCTGCCCTACGAAATATACTTGTGGCTGTAGCACATCTTACTCGGGATTTAGACGATTACAGGCACATAACTTTGGCCAAGATCCTGACGGAGAGGTTGCAGTCAGTTGTCGCGAGCTTGTTGGGACCTGAGCAGACTTGTGCTGTGAGGATACGAACAATTCAAAGCAACACCCTCTATGATCGAGCTGATCCGCACGATCATAGAAGGTGTAAAAGACGACAAGCGAGCCGCGCTGATCAATTTGGATCAGTCCAAGGCATTTGACAGTGTTGACCATCAATATCTGGCTGCTGTCCTGCAGGCCGCCGGATTCGAACCCGACTTCTGCAGGTGGATTAGCCTCCTGTATCACTCCCCCAGTGCTGTGGTACAGGTGAACGGAAGGCGGTCGAGCGCTTTTGCGCTGACTCGGTCAGTCCGACAGGTGTGCCCGCTGTCGCCCTTACTTTACGCTTTGGCGTTGGAGCCCCTCCTTTGACATCTGAGGGGCAGCGTGTGCAGTCCGGCCCTACGCGGAATCGCCGTTTTCCCTGGTAGTGCTCGAGCTAGGGTTTCTGCGTACACCGATGACGTTTCCATCTTCATGTCATGCCGCAGTGACATTAAGGTGGTGCAGAAGGCGCTTGAACGGTTCGAGAAGGTGACGGGGGCCAAGATTAACCGCAACACGTCTTCCGGCTTGCGGTTAGGTGCCTGGAAGGGGGTTGCGCTTCCGGGGCCCTTCGGCTAGACTGATGGTCGTTTTTTATTTTAAGTACAATAAATATCGTTGGGGGCCGAGGGAGCCGACAAGGACGACTGCCCTGTTCCAGCGGGTCCTTTTTGGCGTGACGGCTACAATAAAATATCATAAATAAAAAAAAACAACAAAAAACATAAGGAATATGGCAGCTCTCTGGTGATTCTCATGCCATATCCTGCAACACATGTGGCTCATGGCCATATCACATTGTAACACCGGTTCTTGTATGATCACAGAAGTTAAGCAACATCGAGCTAGCTCAGTACCTAGATGAGTGACCGCTTGGAAATATCAAGTATAACGGCTCGGAATTGGAAATCGGAGAGTAGTGTTCCATTTCCAGTCGGGTTCTTTGTATTCATTTACGCGCAATTATACCATTGTAAAAGTTCTGAAACTTCCTCTTCTTTCCACCCACCTATGGATTAATTAATAGAACTTGTATCAGTAAATTATTATCTCTCAAAATTATTGCAATCCTAAAATATTTTCTGGCTTTAAATAACCTGCAAAAGCTGGATAAGCCGTAAAAAACAAAATAAATCAATCAGTGTAACAAATTTTTGTTCAAGACCCCGATATATGATGGATTGTAAAACATACGGCTAACTGTCAAAGTGGTGTCATATTGCAGAGGGAAGTGAGATATTGAAGAATTTTTTTTTTTTATTAATAATTGATTTATTCTCAACTTCAACTTCAAAATGTTTTTTTAGCGTTTTTGTTTTCTTTCGAGTATTCTTTGAAGTATGGATTGCTTCGTTACGATGAATGAAATAAGAAGCTAGATTGATTCAGGTTATCCGCGGATATAAATACTATTTTCAATGTGCAATACATTTCTGGAGATTCTTCTGGTAACCCTTTTGAAATACAACAAATCACTTATTACCTAAATATATGACTGTTTATATTTCAAATAACATATCACAAAACATACTTTGGTTAGCAACAGAGATTAACTGGAACCCTGGAAATTCCAAGGGTTTAGGGAAATCACATTGAGCTTCGAATCAATTTTAGAATTATATTTATTCTGTAATTATGCCCAAGAGCCTTTCGTGGTAGAAGGTTACAGAGTAAGAGGCACGAATAACTGTTGACCCTAATAAGTTAAGATTATAGTGATCGGAGAAGCATCTTCTTGGGAGTCGGTTCCACAAAGCAGTTGTTTGTGTGAAGAAGTTGATCGAGTGGAAATTACATGTTACCAATGGAATACGAAAGGCAGTGAATACAATAGAATATGAAGGGGTGGTTGGTTAAAATGTTCGTAGCATTGGTAGTGGGTCTTAGCCGTGAAGGTTAGAATTGCGGAACTAAGGAATATTGTTCCTTTGAACATTTGCCATGGAAATAGCGATAGAGCAGCGATAGGCTTGCGACGTTGCGTCTGTTGGGAAGACGCAAGGACGCGGAGAGACATTAAAGTCTATCGAGACTGGAAAGTGAAAGCTGGGCAGCTGTTGCCATATATGGCAACAGTGGTGACATCAAAATCAAACAGGTACAAAATATTATCTATTTGAATAAGTGTAATAACAGATGACAGAAAGTACATCGAAATAACGAAAGAAGCTTACCAGAAAGGAAGCACAGTCTCAAGTTATATTAACATACGTTAGAAACAAAGAAGAAAGTACTGAGCTAAGCATGTTAGGTATATGTACATGTATGACAGCGAGTGCTGCACAGTTTCCTTACAGATCAAGCGATGTAGTTTCGAGGTGACAGTGATGTAGTTCTACAGACGAATAGTGAGAAAACTATAGACTAATTGAGAGAATGGGAGGGAAATGGAAACAGCGAGCAATTTATTCACTGAGTTTGTGTGAATGGATGCAAGAGAAGAGTCAGAGCGATGGGAAATAAATCAAACGTTGCTTAGTGCTGCAAGCGACAGGAAGTTGTGGAGAGTCATGAATGAGCATGATTTTGTGTGAATGGACACAAGAATAAAGACGTAGAGAGATGGAAACAAATCAAAAGTGTCTTAGAGCTGTAAGAGACAAAAGGTTGTGGAGAGACATGATTGTCCATGTCCTGAAATAATGTATCTGAATGGTGATAATTAAATGATGCCATTTCTCTTCTCTCACCTTTTGTCCGTATCTTCTCTTTCTCTTCCTTATCTCTCCCACTCTTCTTTGTCCTATCATATTTTTATGTAAATGTTATAGAAAACATGAATTAATTTATCAAATTCCAGCTTCTCCCCGTTTAATATTTGTATGTATGTTTTACAGTCAGAAAGCCGCCATAATTACAACTCAGAAGAGCTGCGTATTAGACAGATAATACATTCTGACCCTAGATAGTAAAGTGTCCAATGGTCGGCTACTCTCGTTTTCCTGGCACATCCACTTGATAGGCTGGTTAGCCAATCACAGTTGTAAATTCCTACCCATGCACATTTGTATTTGTTCAACACCCACAGCTTCCACCTGTGGGGTTTATACAGCAACTATGGTGAGCGGATCTTCGTTACAGATTCTAGGCCGAGAGTGTATAGTCTGTCATGATCATCAGTTTGAACGACGCCAGTACACCTCAGTCATAAAGACTTGCGACTTCGTGCTAGTGCAACCACCCAAGACTTCCGAAAAGTTCAATATGCCCAATTTCACTGAAAAGGTTGGGGTCAACCGGTGGTATGATTTTCAGTCACTTCCCTAGGTTATCGAACGCAAGATGCACCTCCCCAGAACGATTTCAATAGGTCATCTTCATAACAAATGGTGAGATTCGAACCTCGGTCGAACATGGTCGGAAGGCGAACCTTTAACCATTCGGACAGGCGGCCATATAAATGCATAATTGTCTTACAAACAACGAGAATACCGATGTAGATTTATTTATAGCGATTGAACAGTAGTTTGGTATTTTCTGTTATCTTTGAGAGAAAGACAATGACATATTGGCACAGTAACGTTTCTTTTTGCTTCGGAACGTGTATAAAGATAGGCTACAACATACAGGAAGCAGACATCAAAAACGGAATAAATAATAAGCCACCTGATTCTCTTGAGACAAGATCAGAAATGTCTGCTCCAGCAAAAAATAAACAAAAGCGAGAGCGCTTCTTCTTAAAATGAAACAAAATATCTCTTTATGAGTTGATAAAGTAAAATTGGTAAACCATCATTTACAGATAAGATGGTGTTTGGAAAGATTAAAGAAGAATAAAAAGCAAATAGAAAAGGAAAAACAAGTACATTGCGTGAAAAAGTGGGCGAAGAAAAATCTTTTCTAAACTACAAAACACAAGGTGACTCTATATTTATCAGTTATGCAACCTGATTTGGCCTTCTACGTGTCGTGATCATGGCTCTCTACAACCTTCTCTCCTTCATTGTTCTATGTAATATGTACCTTATTACTATTCCCTTTGTCCATATTCTGCCACCATTTGCAAGATTTCATTAAATAGGTTAAACATTGTTTCCCACTGCCTTTAATGTCCTTTTTGAATGTCAAATTCACCAAGATTTCTTTCTTGAGTTCTAGAAATTTCTTATCCGAAGCACTAGTGTTCTTTTTGTTTCCACATACTTTAAAACTTTCATTTTGCTCACATGTTCCGTCTATGTTATTCTCAGCATCCTCCTGTAGAACCACATCTATGTTACTTCCAGTCTCTTCTCCATCAGTGAGGATATCTTTTCGAACATTCACTAACATATAGAAAGATTGCTATTATATAGCAGTTCAACACTCTTTTCTTTGTTTCTGATGAAATTCTCCTTGTTCTCTGGTTTTTTGCAAGGTTTTGAGGTGGGGGCATTATTACTTTTCTTCTGTGTACCATGTCTCTTCAGAACGTGGGCGATCATAACTATCCACAATTTCCTAACCTTCTAGATCTTGACAGCGATTGTTCCTTTGCGAAATGTCCCCCCCACCGTTCCCCCATTAATTCTCAGAATCTCATCAGGTTGCTAACCCGTTGCCTTTCGTTTTTTTTTTTTTTGCTTTCGATATATCCTGTATGTGTCAAATTCTCCAAGCCCTCTTTCCTCATTATGCATCCTAGAAACTTCAACTGTTTTTATGATTCTGAGTATAATCCTTTTTGTTTCCATTTTCCTTAAAACTTCGTTGGTTACGCGCTCCGTCCATGGTATTCTCAGTATCCTTCTGTAGAACTACATTTCTGTTGTTTACTCTTCATTTGTGAGGAGATTATTTAGCATTCAATGATTGATTTAAAAAACAGAATTCATTTTTACATGCAATAGCAGAGTTAATTGTGTCGATACAAATTCTAAATGAGTCACACAGGAAATATAAGCGATATAATTGCAAAATTACTTAAATATTTTCCCTCATTTTTGACTCCACTAGAAAAGTAGTATGCGAAGGATCTGAAAAGTTTCCGGCTTGAACAAGTTCTTAAAATTTAAACGTTATTTCGTCAATGTAGTTGGAAAAAGTCTTCTTTTATATTGTAAACTGCAAATCGTAATCTGGACAGAAACTTTGTCTCATTGATTCCAACTCTACGACAGCACCTTTCTCGTTGCAGTGAATTGGAACAGATAGTGGATATCAAAGTCATTGTAATAGCGGTCGTGGAAACTGGGTAATTTTTGTTTTGGGCTTGTATATATGGTATTTCACATTAAATGTCACGTTCTACCAATGGGGAGATGGTAACGTTACTCCTCTCTCATATATCCAAAGTGTAATATTTTCTAAATGTTTCTTTGTTTCTCTGTTCATAAATTTGGTCATGATAACAACAAAGATGAGGAGGATACTCGTCTGCATGTAAATAGTGTAAATAATAATGATGATACGTCCTCATCCTAAAAATTCCGACAGAAATAGAAATAATCATTCCCGAACGAATAATTTGCGGGTATCCAACATCTGATGTCCGATTCCGAGATAGTCCTCTAGTGAAGTGTTAAGGTGAACTGCGTCTGTGCGCACATTGGTCCCACTCTTTTAACACAGGATTTCTATGCGACGACGAGAGACGATTGGAGCAAGTTCCTAAAATCGTGATTTTTCTGTTAGAGTTACTTTCTACTAGGCCGGTGTCCGAACTATCTATCGAGGTTTGCTGCTCCTTTGAAATAGCAACCTGGAGGGATTGAGGCCCAGTTCCTTGGCTAAAAGAATGTTTACATTTCTGATTAACATAGCATAATTTTCCTTATGTTTAAATACTAATGTAAGAAGAAAAAACTAAAAATAATAGGGCTTACGGCCATGTAGCCTTGAAACACAGGTTCCCGTATGATAATCGAAGTTTGTGCAACGTCGAGCCTGGTCAGTACCTAGGTGTGTGA